GTCAAAGTTTTATATAAATTACTTTTAATTTACTTTACAAATTATATAAAATGCAAGCTTATGTAATTTAAACTTTATTTTATATAACTTATTTTTAATAAAAGCTTGTTATTATTTTTAAAATAAAAAACTCCTACCTAAAAAATATTATTTTAATTGTAAATTTAATTTACGTTTCGTAACATGTAATGTAATTTTCAAAAGTAATTAGCTTTTAAATGTAAAATGAAACAGCTTTTTCACGTGACTTTTACATGTAAAAGTAAATTACTTTTTGATGTAATCTTCTTTTACATAACTTACTTTTGAAAGTTAAAAAACTTACATTATAAAGTAAAAGTCGTTTCAAAAAAATTAACTACTTACACGAAAATGTAAATTTACATTAAACGTTTGAAATTACTTATTTAATTTACTTTTTAACTTGTGTAAGTAAAAAGAAAGTAAATAAAAGAGCCATCGCTAGAGAGGAGAACCTTGTTAAGGAGCTTAGTATATCTTCATGGCCGGGTTACTTCATAAAAAATCCTAGAATTTTTTGAACCAAATACAAGTACTTTATTTTGTACCAAAAATAAAAAAAATTATAATAAACCAGGTAAAATGTTTAAACTTTGCAGCTATAATAACAACATAGTTAAGTAATTAACAATATATTTAAGTAGCGATTGTTGGGTTCAGTTAAACCAGGCTTTTTTAAGCCACAAATGCGATAATAATGTCAAAACAATTAGTGAACAATTGAATGAAGTGATGGAAAAAGTATTGGCAGCAATACGAACACAACCTATAAGGGTAGAAAATCAACTTTTAAAATTCAAAAAGAAATACTTTTCTTTGAAAGTAGTAGCTCAAGATGTGATGACCTTAAAAAAATATATAATTATATACTATCTATACGGCCAACAAGTGTGTTATCCGAACGAGCATTCTCAACCGCTGGATTTTATGTTCAAAAAATCGAATACGATTAAGCAATCAAATGATTTACGCTTTGATTTTTTAGAGTGATACTTTCAAAAATAAATGTAACTCATGCATATTCATGCATGTTCATATTATTTTTATTTATACTGTGTTATCATTTTAAAGTATTGTTTTATAATTTAAATGACTTAAGTTCATTTATGAATGAAGTATTTTATTTATATTATCATTAAATTAATCATTTTAAAGTGTTTGATGAACCCTTTAAACGTTAGTTCTTCTTATATTTCACTTTCTACAATAAGGCTTTTTTTCTATTTGATCCCGGAATTTCTCGGGGACAAGTTTCTCAATCTAAAAATCTCGGGATTGAAAATATCTGGGATTTTTGCCATCCCTAATCACGATTGCTAACGTCGATCCACTTTTTCTAGTGATTTAGGAAGTTTAGGAAGATTTCTAGTGTTTTAAATAGTGCTGAACTTTTTGAGGTTCTTTTCGATCTTTAAGAAAAAAAAAATTTCAACGCTTAAAATTTATATCAGAAACATTCCGTTTCAGCATCTAGCTCAAAAAATACAATTTAGTTTAGTAGCGTTTTTTTATATCAAATTTTTTTTTAGTGAAACCAATGAGTGCTCCCAAATACAACGCAACAATGGGCTATTATGCCTTTATAGTATAAGCAGTAGCGCAATTAGGGGGGTTTTCATGGTACCTGGAAACCCCTTTTTAAATTGTTCAACTTTTAAAAAAAAAGTGCACGCTTTGAGTTTCACGAATTAAAATCAAGGATTCATAAAATTGGAAACAGGTTTGCCATCTGGTGTTTTTTAAAGCCAGATTTCTCAAATCTGGTTTGTTTTTTTATCGTTTGGCTTGGAACTTTGGTTTTGGTTTATTTTAAAAAATCTGGCTTAAATCTTGTTTATTTTTCAGTCTTTGGTCTTTTTTTGTTTTTTATGATATGTTTTTTAAAATCTGGTTTATTTAATAATAAATCAATTTAATCAAGTTTTTTTTTCATAAAAAAAGTTAATTTGAGTGAAAGGAAGATTTTCATTTTTTCAATTTATAGAAGAACAATCAAGTTTAAAATAAATGAAAGAAATGCTTACATTAAAATTTAAAAATGTTAAAAACTTTTAGTTGTAATGTAATTAAAATGTTGTTTTTATCTATTAATTGCCAAAAATAATAGAAAATTCTTACATTCAAAATGACATTTATTGAGAAAAATCTGCCTGTAATGAATGAGCGAGTCTTAAAAACTTTTAAGAAAAATGAGTTTCTAAAAACACCGCTGAATTCTAAACTGCTTCGTGAGACCATTTAGAAGTTTCCCGAGACCTAGACCTCTGGAACATAGATGCCTACTTCCTTGGCTATTTATGTGTTCCGTTTCTAAATATTTTGTTGAGTCTTCTCGCAGGTCATCTGCATAAATATAAGACTAAGAAAATATCAAACCAAGTCTTGCATGCAGTCATTTGGATTAAATCGTATTTAGTAAAGCAAAAGATTTTTTACCACGACTTTAAAATAATCAAGTCAATTATCGCAAAGGTTGTAAAAAAAAAATCTATATCCATATGCAAGCGAAAATATATATATATATATATATATATATATATATATATATATATATATATATATATATATATATATATATATGTATATATATATATATATATATATATATATATATATATATATATATATATATATATATATATATATATATATATATATATATATATATATATATATATATATTTTAGAGGTTAATAGAATCGGATTTAGTATAGGTGTTTGGAGTGAACAACTTTCCCCACGCCGCACAGTGGGCCAAAATCATTATCAGATTTTCCCCATAATTGCCAGGTTGAGTATATTTCATACTGCGAATTTAATGGTACCATTTAGTTGCTATGGATACCTATATTCCATAGCAACAGTGCATTTTGCATAGTTACCTAAGTTAAGAGAATTTCTTAAAACGTCAAATTTATTAACTAAACTGATATTGTTATTATGATGCTATTTTATGTGTTTAAATGATGACACTAACAAAAATTAGTAATTTTTGGTGTTGCTATGCCTTTTTGGGCTCTTAGAAACCAGTTATTTTTTTTTTTATGAAACTTGCTTAATTCAAAATTTCTTTAATTCAAAAATAAAATTATAACTTTGAAAACAATCTTACCTCTAAGGGTTTATAGACACAGTATATAAACACAATAAAATTTGAATCAATTGTATATATGTAGTACACATGTCCTTAGCAACCAAATAAAAATCAACAAGTTTTAATACAGAAAGAGCTATTGAACACTTTATAAAGTATATGTAAGAGTAAAAGCAAATTTGTATATTCAAAAAAAAGTTTATTTACATAACATGCATTATTTTATTATAAAATAATAAATACTAAAAAGTAAACAACACCTTGAATACCAACTAAAATCAAAACTATGCAATTGCAATTTAGAGTTAGTCAAAAATTGGAACCTCTTTGAGTACATTTAGAATACCAATTAGAAATGCATTGCTCTTAGGATAATATGACTTTCTCAAACTACTTATCAAAGGGTCAAAAGAACATACTAGTTGCCTTGATAAATCTTCATTTTCTTTTTGACCGCAAACACATTTTGCAAATTGATTTTTTAATAAAGAATGCACAGTCAACACAATCATGTTATTATAAATGTTAACATTTAAACATACAAAGAAACAGTATTTGGATACAAAAACTATTGTAGTTAACACTAACCCTTAATATTAATTTTTCTGGTTATAATAAGAAAAATAAATGCTATGGTTAGTGCTGATACATGTAATGAGAAGTTTTTTCACATGATTTCCGGCGTGCATATTGTAAACTAGAAAAAGTCAGTGAATTGAAGGCTAAAAGTAGGTAGATGATCAGCAAAAATGGACTTGAATTTAAAAGCCAAGTTGATTTGGTATTAAGCATATATTGTTTTATTTTTGGTCGTTGTACAATAACATTAGTAATAATGCTTCTCATATAGATGGATCTATAATGTACTAAGAAAACAAAAGACTCAATATAAGTCTTTTTTGAATTTTAAAAAACCTTATATACATCTTCTCAAGATTTAAGATTGTATTTTTTTAGCCTTAAGATTATCCTTTAATAAAAACTATTGCGATATCCTTACATAATTATCTTTTAATAAAGACTATTGCAATAGTGCCAATGACAACCTAAAGTTTATGTTGTCCATTACACTATTGCTATTGTCTTTATTAAAGGATAATTTTAAAGGGTGGAAATAAGTCTTATAGAAGACTGAGTTTTACTCTAAGTTTTTACTTGAACATATTATTAAAACACCAATAAGAATGGTAAGCTCATTTTTTAAAATAATCATTCTTGTTAAATTCAAGAATTAAATTAATTTTGGTTGTTGTCAATAAAAAATATGTATAATACAATAATTTATTTGTTGCTTGTTGCAATTTTTTTTTTTTTTTTTCATGTGTTATTTTTCAACCGTTATAGAATGGCTGTTTAATTTAACACTTATTGCACTGTCTGGAAAGATTTTTTTGTTAAAAACACGAGTTTGTTACAAAGTGTAATTGTTTTATATTCAAAGCATAAAAGAAGTAATAGCTTTAACATTAAATCATGATACCATTGTTTTTTATTAAATATTTCAGTATAAATAAACATTTTGACATGAGAAAATCAAACTTTGTTTGAATATTAAATATTCAAACAAAGTTTGATTTTCTTATGTCTAAATGTATTATTTTTACATTAAATTACACATTAATTTATATTATATTATATGGAAAATAATATTACACATTACATATAATATTATAAAAAAGTGTTTTAAAGGGTAAGTTTTAAAAGGGTCTAATTAACTCAATTTTGTTTTGAGTTTTTCAATATTTGTCTTAATTATAAAAGGTATAGTAGTTCATATTTATAATTTGAAAATTTGAAAAAAAAACAAAAAACAAGTAGAATAACAAAACAAATAGTTTTTATATCAATGTTTTATTTAAAACTGTTTATTTTTATTTAAATTTAGATCAAGTTGATAGTTTTTTGAATCAGCTTCAGAGTGTTGCTGATTTATTTAAAAAGATTAAAAAAGCTTATCAAAGCGGGAAAACTGAAATTCCATTTTACGAAAATTGCATTGTTGATATATCATTCAAGAATCCAAACTACACTATAAAAGCTGATGAAGCAAAATGTAAAGGAGGTGTTAGTCTTGGCAGAGTTGTTAAAAAGTTATTTGAAAAATTTGATGTTGAAGCCTTATCTTCAGGTGAATTTACATTTTTTCTGTAGTTCTCATTAAATTATATAAAGTAATTTTATTCCAAAAAAATATTGAATTTGAAATAATTTTCATTAAAATCAGAGCTAATCTAAGTTGTTAAAGACATTTAGTAAAACTTTTTTTGCTGATTCGAAAATATTACAGGGCTGCGTTTCAAAACATATTTTTTCTTAGTTGTTAATAAAAACTAAATCTGTTTAATGAGAATATAGGTTTGCTTATTTTCATAATTTGTGACAGTAATTTTTATTATATCATTAATGAATTTACTGTTATTGGCATTTTAAAGTTATAAATTAGTCAGTATATTTAAAAAGTGATATTAAAAGATGAATTAAACAAATTGTCACAAAACTAAATATGAAAAAAAAACTAGCTTCTTCTCAGCTAACTCTCCAATTAGGAAAAAAATCTAAGTGCAAAAATTAAGTATAAAAATAACAAAAAAAATCAAATATGCAACATCAGATTAACTGTATAGAGGCAATTATATCAATTAGGACTGGCCAAGTTGCACAAGGTTAAAGCAAATAACAGATTTTTGTTCCAAAAACTGAGTAAATTTGTTTTTGACAAAAAAAAGCTTGGCAGCACTACATGCTAAATAGTAAAGATACGTGGCATAGAAGTTTCATGAAGTTTCTTATTATGTGGAATATAGGTACTAAAATGAGGTAAAAATTATTGCAGATCTCATAAAATGAAGGAGTAAGATTTTGTTGATGATTCATGAGTCAACCACTATTAGCCAAAAATCGAAAATCTACATTCAGTGCTGTGTAAAAGGCAGTGGAATTTACCATTCAATTTATTTTTGGATTTTTAGAACTCAAAAGCATTAAGGCTAAAGGAGTATTTAATGCTTTACTTAAATGTCTTCCTTCTTGTGAGATAACATTAGAAAACTTAAAGAGTTAATTTGTTTCTGTAGCATGTAATGGTGGAGCATGTCAAATTATTCACTTAAATTTCCTTATGTTACAATTTGGCATTCTACAAATCGTAGAATAGAATTATCAATAGGGGATACTATAAAGCAGATATCAAGAATTAATAGATTCAAACCATTTCATGATAAGCTTTATGTTGTGTTTCATGCTTTCTCCAAAAATAATAGAAAGTTACATTTATGCATGGAATTACTTAATATTTATCTGCTGAAAATTGGGAGTTTACTCAACACAGTCACCACCAAAATTACTTAAGCAACCGGATAGTGCTATATTGGAATAGTTGACCAAATAACTTAGTTGCATCAAAAACATATATATATATATATATATATATATATATATATATATATATATATATATATATATATATATATATATATATATATATATATATATATATATATATATATAAAATATACTAAAAGTAGCCATACTAAGAAAAAATTTGTCAAACATAATAAAAATAGTAAATTTTAATTTACTCTAAGAAAAATTTATATTTTCATAATAAATTTTATTTTTAAAAAATGATAATATAAACTTCTGTTTATATTTTGAGTTTTAGGCATTTGTTACTGAAATGTTTTTTTTATAAGATCTTAATAAGAGTGATAAAAGTTTTTAAGAGTTTTTTTAACAAAATGTGAATGCATGTCTAATTTTTTTTCTTTGTTTGTTGTACTTTAGGTATAATTTTATTTTCAGGTTTTATTCAGGGCAACAAAGTGTTTATCCATTTATTGTCAATCAATGAAAATACTGTATCAATTAAGGCAAAATACCATGGCCGTTACTCCCATACTCAGTCTATGCTTCAGCTTATGGATATAAAACTTGATTTAGATATTCCTAGAGAAAAATCAACAGAAGAATTCAAATTTAAATTGACAGGAAAATTTAACAACTTCATAACTGAAATAGTTTATGATTTAAAAGGTAATTTTATTAACATTATTTTTATCAAAACATTAGTTGTTGTGAAATTTTTATTATATATAAAATGCTTTTTTTTTTTTAGTTCAAATTTATAGAGTCGCATTAAATGTCTTTGTCATAGAGATGTTTAATAAACAATAAGATGTTTTAATAAACACAATTTTAATTAAATATCACTTTTTGATTGTATTTGTCTTTAGAGTATCTTTCTATTTGCAAATTTCAATAATCAGGTTAGGTTCAAAATCATTATGATCATTTTGCTAGTGGTAATCCAGCATAACCTGACCCATATTCTTCTGCTTTGAAGGATTTTGAATCCTATGATCATTCTTTAATGAACTTCCATATACCACTTTATAGAAATTTCAAAAATAATTATCATTTTTTGTTAAGAATAAAAAAATTTGAAAAAAAATTTCCGACCAAAACCATGAAAAAATGTATTTTTTAATTTTTTGTTAAAAATTAATGATTTTTATGCAATAAAAATTAGAATAATAATTCTTGTGTAAAATTTTTATTATAATTGAAATTTCTATAAACTTTCGCTTCTTTTAAAACCTAACAAGATATACATTTGAAAAACTTTTTTTTCTTCTGTTTAGGGTCTGGTTGCAAGTTTCAGACTTGTGGTGGCCCCCCTAAATATCATTCAATTTTGAAAAAATTTAACAGAGTGTCTTGTGAGAACCAATATAAAGTTTTAAGAATAGGGACAGATCAACTTTTAAATGTATGGGGCATTGGATGCACCTTAATACCACCTCTTCATTAAATTAACTTTCTCTTTGTTCTTTATTGTTTTCCTTTTTCTGAAAAATATAATTTCTGATTAAATGAACCAAGTTCTTTCTATTTATCTAGCCATCAATATTAATGTTATTGATGATTTTAATGTTTGTAACACTTAATGGTTTGGCTCTACCACTGACCCTGCTGGCACTAAAGCTTATACTTTTTGTATTTCACAATCTCTTAGATAGTTAACTTTGTGACTCGTTTTCACGACAATTCCTAATCAATCTTTAATTTTTTTTTTGGGTTGGGCTTATTTATTGTTCTCCTTTAGGTGGTTCGGATCACACTATGATCTCTCTAAAACCATTTTTTTACTTTTTTTTTAGACTCACTTTATCACCATATTTCTAGCTACTGTCTTAAAGCTGGAATTATGATTTTCTTTATGACGCTCCTTAACTGATGTTTTTCGTTTCTCCGCTGATACTTTCACCTTGTTTGTAATCTTCTGGCTTCTTGCAGCAGGGAAAATTTTAATTCTTATGTAAATTTGAGTCAAACCTCATTCAGCCTCATTTTATTGATCTATTTTTGCAGTTGCTGTTCCTAATTGTAAATATATTCTCAAAAAGTTAGGTTCTAAAGATTTTTGAAATTTTAAAATTTTTAACTATGTTATAAACAAAAGAAACATTCTAACATTCTATCTCTAATACATGAGTCTAATCTTATTACGTTTCTTAAGGGTAATGCAGAGCAGTTAGCAAATAGCTTTTTCTCTAACCTGCCTGTAAACTAAATCTATCAATCGTGGTCTTTCTGTATCCCCAAAAAGGTGAGTCTAATAACCTACTCTCTTACAACCAATACAGATTTCAGTTCACTCATTCTACTGCTGACTTGTTAACTGTTGCAACAGAAAGTTTCTATTGGGCAGATGGAGGCGGACAGGTAAGGGCTATTGCTCTTAACATATCGATATAGTCTGGCATGCTGGTCTTTTCCATAAGCTTACTTTCATATTGTGTATTTTGGAAAACTTTAAAAGTTATTGAATCATTCTTTTTCAGCTGCAGTATTAAAGTTGTCTCTGAAGCCCATCACTCTTTATTTCCAGTACTCCTGGGGTACAATCAGTTTCCATCTTAGATCCTGTATTGTTTCTCATCTATATCATCTATGATCGATATCATCTAGATCATCTAAATGATCTTCCTAACAATCTAACATCTTAAGTGGCTCTATTTGGTGTCAATACAACTATACGCTCCAGTCCTGACAAAAAGTCTGTTTTAGACAAGGTCCACATTGTAAATATACTTGAACTTGCTCTGGCTGCCAGGTGTGACTCATAATTCAAGTTACATTCTATGTATCTGTCCTTTCAAACTCTAAAAACTTTAATTCATTTTTTTTTTGCACATTGATGCTTTAAAATTTTCTTCCATGTTCATATTTTTTCAACTTTAAAAATTTCAGTTTTTTAGGTTCTGTTTTCTTGCTTTTTAACAATACTTCTTGTTTTCTGGTAAAATATTTCTTTTCTCCCAACTTAAATATTTGCTATATTTAAGTTGGGAATTTCCAGAAAAATAAAATGCAGGTGAAAAAAAGTTTATTTGTATTGAGTTAAGTTAAAAAAATGTTTGTTTTTAGCCAATCATTTTTGAAATAATCTTTTAATAAAGTTCCATAAATAGTAATCTACTGATTAAATCTTAATATTTTCTCTGGTTACTTTTACCTCTTGTTGTCGCGTGTAAAAGTAATTGACCAAACTCAAACTGAAAAACATAATCAAATTGAAATTGCAAAGTTAAAAAATAGACTAAATTAAGACTAATACTTTTTTTTATTGTGCTTTTTTTTTTTTTTTTAATTTTATTCTTGATAAATTTACATCATGTTTTTATAGTTTTTGTTTAGTTTGTTTAATTTATTTCAATATCTTGAAACAAGTTAAATACTGATTTAAAAAAAATGTTGGTTTTTGTTTAGTGAGTCCTTATGCTAAAATTAGAATTGAGGTAACTAAAACAACAGTTGAGCGTTTCATAAAGTTGTGGGGTTTGCAATCTTCCGATTTAGTAAACTTTCCTTTCGATAAACTTAAAGATGCTGAAATTAGTGGTGAGGTTAAAGGTGAGTTTTAAAGTGTAACAATATTATAACAAAATTTAAATTTTTGAATCATTATTTGAAGAATGGTTTACAATTTAAATATGTATGTATCAACAAAATTCATCCAGAATAGATATGCAAATTAATAGGTAAATGTCTGTCTGAAACTGTAATGGTATATAAACTGTCATTAAAGTAAGTTGCAGGCCTTACAGTTTTTTTTGTAAAGTTTATTGGTCAATTGTGCGTAGATTTTTATATAATATTTTTATATATTTTTATACTTTTATATAAATATTAAAAAATAACATGTATATCAGAAAAATGAATGATTGCAACTATTTATTTATTAATTGTAAATTTTTTTTCTTTTTTTTTTCTTACGGCATTCAACCATTACACCAATGATATTGTTCTAGTATTATTTATTAAGCTTTATCATTTGTAATATACTAGCTTATATTTGTTATTGGTTTAAAGTCAACTGAAATAATTTTTGATTATTATTTAGCTTTATACAATACAAAAGACAACCACTTCCAACTTACAGCTCAACTCAAATATAAAGATGAAGTAATAGATTTATCTATCAGTTTAATTGTTGACAAACCAAAAGGAAAGCCTGTTGCTGTTGCCCTTATTGCAAAATTAGACTCTATTACAAACATTGTGTAAAGTTTTATTTTTATTTGTCTGCTTTTTTTTTTCTCATTAGTATAATTTTTTAAATACATTAATAATGAAAATTAGTTAAATGTCTTTAAAAAAAATAGAATATTAACCTTAATAACAACTTATTGAATTAATGATTTTCTTTCTTTAGAGACTATTTGAAACAAAAATTTAATTATAATGGCCCTGATTTTATCAAACAGTTGATAAAGAGTGGTACTCTTTCTATTTCAAACAAAAAAATTAAGTTGATTGAACGTCTCCGCTTAAAGTTAGATGGAAAAGCTCTAAAGTCTGTTGAATATGGTATGAGTTGATTGAAATTGTATATGTTAGCGTTGTACCAATTAATTGCCATTGACAATGGCTTCTTTTTATCTTTTTTTCATTCTTTCTTTTTTACCTAATCTATTTTTTTGCTAAATAATATTAATTTTATGAATAATAAAAAGTTGATTTAATACAAAAATAAAAATTTCCATAAACTAGTTTTGGAATTATATATTTCCTCATATTTAAAAAGTTGTTTGAGTTGCAAAGACATATTATCTACACATTAACAGACCTGTTAGTTTATCTTGCAATGTTTGAGTTGCAAAGGCATAATATCTAAACATTCACAGGCCTGTTTTATTGCATTTAAAAATGTGAAAGTTTCTTAGTTTTAGATTTTTTTTAAATTTTTTTTGTAAGCATTACTTTGCAACTCTTTATTTGAGGTAAGTTTGTAGCACACATTTCAGCTGTATTTTTTGTACATTTTTGTACAATCCTGTTTGTTGCATATTATAGTCCATGATTGTCATTCTAAAAATATTTTGTTTTTTATTTTCTTAATTATACCTCATTTTAATAATTTGGAAAGTAGTAACTGTAATTATCTTTAAGTACCTGTAGTATTAATAAGAAATATTCTTTATAAGAAATAAAATTAAAAAGTTTACTTTTTGCTGTTCATACAAAATAAAAATGCAAATTACAATAAAAGATGGTGTTTTCTCATCTTGCAATATTCTGAATCCAATTTTTTGTACAATCCTCCAAGGCTCCTAATAGGATGTATTTTCAAAAATCTATTTTGTCTCACTTTATTAATTTGTCCTATGTTCCTTTATTTTGATAAAGATTTTGAAAAAAATGTGTTAATTTTTATTGCATTCAAAGTTTTTTATTTAAGTAAATTTTTTTTGTTTTGAGTTTTTTTTTAATATTATTTTAACAAAAATTTCTTAGTTTCTTTTAGTGATATTATATTAATTTTCTCAATAAAAGTTATGGGTGGAACATTTAATTCAAAATATATTTTTCTTTAAATCAGTACAAAAAGGAACAACTTTTTTCACACGTGTCTAAATTTACCTTATTTATATTTACATAAAACTTTTTTTTTTTCTTAAGGTGTTCATATCTACATAGAAACTGATATGAAAACTGCCTTAGAAAACTGTGCTAATGATCAGGCTCCTCAAAGAAAGGTAGAGGTGACAGAAACAAATAATAAAAAAAATCATCTAATAAAGATAAGTATATTAAAGACTGGCGTTGTAATAGAATTACCCCAAAACTTTTCACAAGACTTGAAAGTATTAATGAAATGTTTCCTAAAAGAAATGAATATTTATGTTCAGACAGTAGTTGTTCCAGAGGCACTAGAAAATTCCAAACAAGATGATGCTTTTTACATTAGTGAACTATCATTTTGTAAGTGTTTTTTACATTAAATTATTTTGTAAGTGTTTTTATTTTTTTAAAGTGATTATTATTATTCTATATTATATATTTTATATATTTTTATATATAAAATATAAAATATAGATAGGCTTTTATATTTTATTAATTGGGTTGTGACTGCTCCAGTTTTTGATGAAGTTGTTTTTGATGAAAGTTTTTTTGATGAAATTATTATTAGGTAAAAAGAGATTTATTTTATAATTAGTATTAAGTACAAAGAGATTTGACCTTTTGTTTTTTAGTAAATAAGGAGTTTAAAATGACTGTTGCTTACAACGGTGATATTGATGTACCTTTTCTTGGTTTGAAAATATCAAAACCTTCACTTGCAATTAGTAAAAAAAAGGGAGCAGATGAACCATGGATATTTAAAGGTCATGCAGAAGTTATTGTAAGTTAAAAAACGTTTATTTATCTTTACTTTTTTCTTAGTCATAAAATCATTAAAGTCATAAAAACATGAAGATGGGAGGGAAGGGGGAAATTAAAAAAAAAAAAAATCTTTAATGCAAAAAATTAATGTAAGAGGTAAGGTTTAAGTTTCAACCATGATATGATGATGGCGATGTTGATGATGATAACAATGATGATAGCAATGATGATGATGACTATGATGATGATGACAATGATGATGATTATGATGATAATAATGATGTTAATGATGATGACAATGATGATAGCAATGATGATGATGACAATGATGATGACAATGATAATGATGATGATGATGATGATGATGATGATGATGATGATGATGATGATGATGATGATGATGATGATGATGATGATGATGGTTATGATGATCATGTTCATGATGATAACAATGATGATTATGATCATGAATGTTTTTTATCTTATTAGTCTGAAGTTTTATTGGATACCGCAAACTGTATATATATTACTTTTACATATGTGTTTCTTTTATTAGTCTAAGGAATTAAAGGAAACTCCAAACAAAGGGAATATAGACTTTACTTTTGACACCAAACAGAATATTGAAGTTAATATTAAAATTCCAGCATTAGAAATTAAATCTATTGCAAAGTATTTTGGAGTTCAACCATTTGAAGGAGATAACAAAAATCTGGAACAGCGCTTCAGTTTTGGAATAAATGACCTTTACATAAATGGAAAGTTGAACTTAAGAGACAAAAATGGAGAGCTCACGTAAGGGTTTATTCAAATAGATTGTAATTTAAAGTAACCTTCTAATTTAAGTTAGAATTTTTATTTTAATTGTAATGATTGTTACAATTAACAATAATAATGATAATAATAATAGTAATAATAAAAATAATAAAAATAATACTGATAATAATTCTTTTGTGAAGTTTCTGTCTAAATACTTTTAAAATAACAATTTATATAAATTTTAAATATCCAAAACAACCATTTAACTACAGAGTGACTGCCTCTCCAGTAATTAATGGAATAACAGGTCTAAAGCTTGCTGTTTTAATATGGAAGCTCAAGGAACCTCAAAACTCCAAATCTGTTGGAATAGCATTTGGTTTGGTAATGAAGAATTTACGTTTAGATCATGCTTTAAAGAAATTTGCAGGCGTTGAAATGCCAGAGTCATGGCTTAGTGATGTATCTATAGGTATTTTTTAGGAGTCGTTTTCTTTTTAATGTTTTTATAATATTGATATAGTATATTGATAAACATTTCATAATAAATGAATTGTTTTCTTTTAAATATTTTCATAAAATCAATATAGTATATTGATAAACAAATAAGTCATATAAAATATGTTATGATTTTATTTTTTAAAGTTTCAATAGACTTAATTAAATTTAAACTATTAGAATAAGAAAAAAAACTTACTTAGTAATAATAAACTTAAAATTTTTTTTTTCAAATTTAATTTGTTTTTAATTTGTTTTTAATTTAAAAAGTTAACAAAAAGTAAATTTCAAACATTCTCAAATTTCTTCGAATAAAAGAGACATGATGCAATCTTGAAATTACAAACTAGCTTTTGTAATTTAACTGAAGTTAATACTTTTGTCTGACCTTTGTTTAGTATGACCAACATTTGAACCACTCAAAATGTTGTTTTTAAAAAACTTGGAATGTTTAGCAAAATAATCTTAAAATGGTCTAAATATTGTGAGAATTGTAATATTATTTCTAAGTAAAATTTTATTTAAGTAATGCTGGCCAGTACTGCAGATAAGGACTACTGTAAGAATAAAGATAATGAAAATTTACCAGAATGTGAGAAACCATCAGAAGAATCATCAGAAGAATCATCAGAAGAATCATCATCTAATAGTAAAAGATCAGATGATGAGGATACAGATGATGAGGATACTGATGATGTGGATGCAGATAATGAGGATACAGAAAATGGGGATACAGAAGATGGTGACGATGAAGAACTAAAAAATACCCATTTTGAAACAATAGAAGAATTGAGAAAAATAGAAATAGTACAAGGTATAAAATTTTTACTAAATAAATTTTTACCAATTAATTCTTATTTAATTTTTAAGAAATTTTTTTTGATAATTTCTTTTTATTTTTATTATTTTTTTTTAATAATTTTTTATCATGAAACAGCAGTGAATAGTAAAAAAAATTAATTTGGAAAAAATACTAATAATTAGGTTTATTTGTATTCAAGATGAGGAACATAATTCTACTTAGTTAATTATTATTATATAAAAAAATTTCTAATCAATAAACTGATTGCAAGTTTTGAAAACATTCAACTATAAAACTTTTTGTAAAAAATTATCCACATCATGATTGTTTATAACTATTCAGTATTTTGTATCTTCTCTATATAATAATGCTGAACTTAATAGTAGTAGTATCCACTTGTGTTTGATACAGAACTCTTGGCAACTATTAAAGCTGAGCCCATAAGATGGTGTGAGTCTTACTGCACTTTTTTATACAAAGTATAGAATATTTATGTAAATATGTAACTAATGTAAATTGATAATAATATGTCATTTACATTTAATGTAAAAATTGCATTTGTATAGATTTGTATGTATAAACCTCTGAAAGTGTAAACATCAGTATGTCAAGTTGAGTTTGCAGGTTGTGTATAGTTTTTTTTTATTTATGGACAAAAAAATATTACAACATTAAAAATGTGGTCTTGACTCAATATTTTCTTTTAAGCAAACATGACATCTTTTTGTAACTTCTTCCACCTCCTACTAATATCATATTCAATTTTAGAATCTATTTTGTTATTTTCAATGCCAGTATCATTATCAACCAACTCATTATCTAAATGAAGTAAATAGTTTTCATTAGCCACTGTTTAATTTCAATAGGATCTATATGTTCAATATGGAAATCAATGTTCAATATGGAAATCAATGTTCAATATGGAAATCAATATAAGATTATTCAGTTTCACCAGAAGGAAGATCTTGCAAAATTATTTCAACAGCTTCTATAGCACTGTATTGAATCTTATGACTCATATTTGATTGTAGTTACACCTAATGTAGACTTAAGTGTAATTATACTTATATTTAATTAATTTATTTTGTATTAATCAATTATATTTAATATATTTAATTGTAATTACACTTTATTATTCTAAACAAAATGTTTGGCTTTGAAAATATTGGACTGTAACACCTGACGGGACTTAATAGTCACACTTTAATTTTCATAACAAAGTTGTGTATGTAAACCTTTTTAACACTTAAACTATGCTTTAAAGATTAAGTTACACATTGGTTAGTTTGATTAAACCTTCATTGGTTAGTTTGATTGAACTTTCATTGGTTAGTTTGATTGAACTTTCATTGGTTAGTTTGATTGAACTTTCATTGGTTAGTTTAATTGAACTTTCATTGGTTAGTTTGATTGAACTTTCAATGGGATTTAATTCAAAGCTTGAGTGCTCTAAAAAAGTTCCCAAAACAAATAAAGTATGTAAAGATAAATATAATAGTTTTGCTTTTAAAAACTAATAAGACTTATGTTCTTTAAAAACCATCATTAGACATCTAAGATAAAAAATAATTGATGACAAACAATTAAATGTAATTTTAAAACATGACTAAAAACCAAGTGAAAATTTGTGTATTATTTTTACAGAAAAAAAACAACAGGTTTAAGTGAAAGACAGAAGTTAAAGCAATGGGACAATTAAGACCCGTCAGTCCACAACTGGTTTAAGTCTTTTTGCTTAAACTGTTTTGTTCTGAAATTTTGTTTTTAAAAATTGCATTTAAAAAAATCGGCGAAAGTAAAAAACAAAAAAAATATATTGTAATGCAAGCTTTTGATAATTATCACCAAGCTTCTAAAGCTGCTGCCAATATATTAAAATAAATTATAAAAAAAAATTGAAGTATATAATAAGTAAAGAAATAAAGGTTGAATAAATAGCTGAATAATTATAGAAATAGAGATTGGTGTATAGTAAACTCACTTAGACCCGTATTTTACAGTTGCGAGTTGCTAGTTTCATATTAATTTTACATTTACATTTTTCAGTTATTATTTTTTATCAGTAAACTGGTAATAGTATTTTTTGAAGATTAAAGAACAAATTTTAACTAATATAAAAAAAAAAATGCTTGTTAACAGATTTAATTGTATAAAAAAAAAAAGTATAATAATGATCATTAAATCATTTATTTAAATATTGTTTTCATTTGAAAAATAATAAAATATAATTAAGTTGATCATATTGATAATATTCAATATAAAATAATAAAATACTAATTAACTGTAAAAATGCTTATTAAGGGTGAAATTTATAGTGTCAGAGTTGGTTGTTGGTTAAAGTGTTTTATTTGCGTTATATTAGCATATGTATAAACAGATAAATATTTTCATGATTTATGAATAGATATTTGAAAATGTTTTAAATGAAGCGAATTATAAAAAACTTTAAAAAACTTTTTTTTGTTGTCTTTGAAAGCAATTGTCTTTTTATAATTTTGCTTGATTTAAAAATAATCTCATTATAATCTTGATATAAAACATAATCTTGAAAACATTTTTGTTTTAGTTATTGAAAATTAATTTTCAATTGATTTAATTTTTGCAGCAACAGCATTTTTACAATACCATGTAATGCTAAATACAATAAATTACATAAAATTAAATTGAGTTTTCTCAAGAATTATTAATTAATCACAAGAATGAAAAAAAAATTCTATTAATGTATCTTCACCATGATTGAACACCTTAACAACAAGCAAAGCCTTGGCAAGACCAGCTCTGAGCACAAACTCAGTATCATTGTCAATGACCAACTCAAGTGGCAGGATCAAGTCACACACACTGTGGCTAAGGCTAACATATCTCAGGCCTTTAAAGTATCATCAAAAACTAACTGCTATAAATATTCAACCTCTAAAGGATAGACAGTGTAGAGGTTGGAAAAGAGGTTGGAAAAGAGGTTGGTCCTTATTCAGACTGTATTTCAGACTGTACTATGGCCTCAACAATGTTGAGTTCTAGAAACTAAACCAGTTAGATACAGCATTGAGGTTGCAGGGACCTACAAAAAGCCTTTAAGGGCAGTGTTGTTGAATTCAATGCCAAATAGTAGCTGTTAAGTCCAACGAAAATTTTTCTTCACCAATCACGCTGTACCTGATTGAAATTTATTTCCAATTCCATTATGTCTGTCGCATTATTAAACAACTTTAGAAACAACTAGATACATATTTTTCTGAACGTTTATTACAAGAAAACTGACATTTATCTAAGTGGAGCTTAATTAGTTGCCCTGCTCAGATTATTTTAAATTATAATAAAATAAGCAATTTATAAGCAATTATATTATTATTGTATGAAAAACAAAAAAAGATTTGAGAAATTATACTGGATTATATTATTAATTAAGGTTGTTGAAATTTCAAAGCTAAATTTGCTTTATACTATATTTAGGACTTGTGTTGGAAGCCTCTGTTAAACTTGAAAATATAAAAAAATGCATGGGTAATGGTATATGTGAGTTTCTTGTTACCAAGGGGGTTAAAGAACTTTCTCTGAATGGAAAAATCAGTAAGTGTTTTTTTCTTTTTACATATTTTGCAATCTGCATGTAATTTGTGTTATATTTAGAATCAGTTAAGTATTTTTTAGGTGAATCCATAATTTATTGAAAATGACACACACACATACACACACATATATATATTTGGCGTCATAGTATTCAATTGTATTTTTTATATTAATTACAGTTACAATTAAAGTTACATGGTACAGATATGAACTGTAAGTTCATCATTAGCTAGCAAGCTAGCTCGTATAGCTGCGATAATACAGCCATGGAAAATGATACACTGTGGTAACTAAGTGAGTTGCTGGTCTAGTTTTTTTTTGAAACTGTCGATAGTAGAGGAATTGACAACATCATCCAGCAGAGCATTACAAGTATTTGCAATCCGATTGTTGAAAAAAGTGATGCATTTGCTATTAATTTTGCAATGAAAGCCTTTGCGATGACCATAGATGGGAGGAATGTATATTGGGTCAATATGCCAGTTGATTAATTCAGTTTTATTTTCAATTTTGAATTTTTGGATAAGGTCACCACGCTTCCTTCTGTCACTTAGTGAAGTTAGTCCAAGTATATTACATCTTATCTTGTAATCAAGATGTTTTAATTTATGAGGTATTTTTGTGGCACGATCTTGTATTTGTTCAATTTCAGTAATGTCTTTTTTAAGGTGAGGGCACCAGGTGGTGATAGCATATTCTAGATGTGGACGTACGTATGTTGTTTAGAGGTTTTTCCAGACTTTTACATCTTTGCTAGCAAAGGTGTGCTTCAACATACCTAAGATTTTGTTAGCTTTAGCAGCAGCGGTGAACACTTGACTTTTGTACTTTAGATCAATAGATAGTTGAAACGCTTTTTGTACTTTAGATCAATAGATAGTTGATAGAAGATCTTTTTCCAATGTTGTTGTTTCTAGCTGGATTCTTTTGGCTCTGCTATTGGAGTCGTTTTCATTGATGAAGTAAATGTGAGGGACAGATTAGGATTGGTTGATGTGCATAACTATACATTTTTTGATGTTAAGTTGCATGAGCCATAATTGGGTCCAATTGACAATGTCATCAATGTCAGCTTACAGACCAAGTTTGCTTTCTAAACTGTTAACTACACTGAGGACTTTTGTGTCATCTGCGTAGATTTTGCATTTATTTTTGCTGCTAATGTGTTCTGGTAAGTCATTAATATAGACTATAAATAGTGTTAGACCAAGAACTGAGCCCTGAGGAATGCCACTAGTTACCTGTTTCCAATCGGATGCAACATTACCAAGGAGGACACGTTGTGTTCTGTTAGAAAGAAAGGGATTAATCCAGTTTAAAACATTTCCTCTAATTCCATAAGATTCAAGCTTTTTTAGTAATCTTTTGTGAGGAACTTTGTCAAATGCTTTGGCAAAATCAAGAAATAAGGCTTCAACAGGTAGCTTTTGTGATGCAGTGTTAGTCAAAAAGTCCATTGTTTTGAGTAAATTTGTAGTGCATGATTTTTTTTTAACAAATCCGTGTTGACATTGGGAGAGAAGATTGTTAGATAATAAGTGATGCATGACCTTATCTTTAACCAGTCTTTCCATTATCTTACATGGTACAGAAGTGATGGAAATTGGTCTGTAGTTTGTAGGGTCAGTCTTAGAACCGTTTTTGAACAATTAAGTTACATTTGGTACAAGCCAAGCCTTTGGTACAATTGCTTGTTCCATTGACAATTGAAAAATCATGGCAAGCGGAGCTGCTATTGTGCTGGCACATGTTTTAAGAACATAAGGACTTATTTGATCTTCTCCAGCAGATTTATATTTGTCAAGTGTTTTTGAACAGATTCAGAATCAAATAAAAAGTTTAAGAGAGAGGTAGATAAGCGTTTAGCAAACAGAGGTAGGTTTTGATTATGAGGCTCAATAGTAAAGACAGATAGAAATACCTTGTTCAATGTATTGGCAATCAAAAAAATCAAGGTACAGAGTTCACCGGATGGAGAACGCAATGTGTTGACATGATTATTGACAGTACGTTTGCTATTAATGTAGACAAAGAGTCTTTTTGGATTGTTCTTGTCTTTAGATAGTTCTTCTTCAAATGAACAAATTGCAGCTCTAGTCTCTTTTTTTACAAGATTTTGAGTGAACTTATAATCATTAGCCAACGAGATAATTTTCTACTTGCTGTTACGGTTGAGAAACCAGAGTTCTTTATTTCATTTAATTAGTAATAAAAGTTTTTTTGTTACCCAGATTGGTTGTCATTTATTTTGTTTTAAATGGATGAATGGAATAAATTTTTTGCAACCTTTGTTGTAGATATTGCAGAAAATTTAGTAGCTTTCATTGGCTTCTAAGTTTTTAAATAGATTTTCCCACCTCTGTTTGGACAGGTAATTGTTAAATTGAATATAATTTCCTTTATTATAAATAAATTTTGAATTAGTAAATTAAAGTTGGTGTAGTCATCAGCTGATTGATAATGCCAGGATAGAGTACAGTGATCTTGTGAACTATTTCCTAATGGCAGACCAACAACAATCTCACTTGTACGATTGGCTGATTCGCTGATTATTAGGTCAAAAATATTTTTTGAAGACCCATTGGATTGAATAAAGGTTGGTCTAGTGACAAGTTGATGTAGATATAGACTCTTGATAAAGTTAACAAATTTTGTATCTGAACTGGTTTCAGTGTTTGAGGTGTATATCCACCCTTTTTTCCATTTGATGTTCGGGAAGTTGAAAACACCGATAATTATGAGGTCTGCAAACTTCTTTTTTTTAATAAACGATTTGGCATAAGAAATTGTGTTGACAATTTCATTAAAAGGTTTTATTCCACTAGTTGGTGGGCGATAGATACAACCGATAAGAAAAGTTTCGTGATTCAAAGTGAGTTTGAGCCAGAGTTGTTCTGAATGCTTTACAGCAAATCTTTGAGAATTTTCAATTTCGCTTGCAGTGAAGCTACAGTTTACATAAATTACAATGCCACCACCATGAGTAGATCGGTCTTTTCTAAAATTATTATAACCCGTAAAAAATGGAGTTGAAAAATTGTTAAACCATATAAATAAAAATATCATATTTATAGTTAGAGACAGCTAGTGAAAGTTCCAGAAGTTTGTTTTGGTTTAAAGATGTAACTTCGGTATAGAAACAGCTTAAAAATTTATTAAGTGATGATTTTGGATTTAACGCTTGGTGTGTGTCTGATACTTTGTTAGATTTATAGTTGACTGATTTATTGACTGGTAATTGATGTTGATTATGATAGGTTAATGGTTTTAACCTTTCTTGCATCTGCTACCTTTTTTTTGTCCACGAAGAGATGTTTTTCGACCCCATTGAGTTTGCTTGTTCTGATAAGGTACAATCAGGTCTTATGAAAATCTCTTTGTACTTTGAGTTAGCTAAGTTTCTCGCTGATGAAATAACTTTATTACGAGCTTTTACAGTGTCAAACTCAACTATAAGAGGTGGCAAATTATTTGTTGATAAATGGACAGATGTTCAATTTGTGTTATGTAGACGGTGAACTGATTTTATATTTGCAGATGAATTAATTGTTACAAGTATAAATGTTACAAGTATATCTAATTATTTTGGTGTCATCTTTTGAACGCTCTTCTTGAGTGACTTTATGTGAGTTTTCTACACCAACAACAACTATTTTGGTGGCTCTGTCAGCTTGCATGCGCTGATTTTTGTTAATTGTATTCATTAGAGCATAATTGGCAGTTGTTCCAATTTTAGTTATATCTAGATAAGATGACCTAGTAGAGTGTAACTGATGTGGAGGAGATTTCTCTTTTCAAAGACATTCTATTTGCTCGTGTAAACTAGTGTTTTCATCTCTAAGCATTTGAATTTCATTTGCCATGGCTGTTTTAAAAGCAAGAAACTCATAGAGAAGTTCTTCATTTTTACTTGAAGCATAAGCCACTGAATTTGTTTTCACTTGTGAGGGTGTTAAAACAGCCTCACAAGTTGGAAAACATAGTTGATCCAACTTCTGTTTGATAATGCAGGAGAAAGGAGGACTACCACCCTTAATAACAGTGGATTACCTCCTGGTCGTGAATTATTTATTATATTAGTTTAATCTTATTACAAAAAGGAACTAAAAAGTTTCAGTATGTGTTTTTTTTTGTCATGATAAGGGAAGGAAGCATGAACTTTCTGGTTAAATGCACTTCAGCAGTACTCTGTGACAAGACAGTTAGGACTTCTTGGGCACCTAAATAACAAATTAAAAAAATATATATATATATATATATAAATGGTCCTCAAATTTTAATTTGGGCGCCACCCAAATTAAAATTTGATAAATTTTTTTTTTTTAGGTTTTATTTACATATTAACAGCAAATATTGTTTTTTTCGCCCAAAAAAAAAAAGATTTTCCACCTAAGTCAGCCAAAATGAGGGGGTACCACCGTCTAAATTTTTTTCCTAGAATAGGCCCTGATATATATATATATATATATATATATATATATATATATATATATATATATATATATATATATATATATATATATATATATATATATATATATATATATATATTAGGGTGGCCCTTGAAACAACTTTTTTGAGAAAAACCTGCTCCCACCCCCTAAATGCGTTTTATCTAATACAAAAACACTAGGTTTAAAATTTTTTTGAATAAAAAATATTTCAAGGGGTCCCTCAAGACCCTCAAATAATTAATGGAACCCTAATGTTTTCAAAAAAAAAGTTTTTCAAAATTATATCAACCTGGTACTCAAACGAAGCGAAATTATATAAAAATTTCAAAAATAATATTCATTTAAAAAAAAATTGTTATTTTTGGTGTTATTACTTAAAAAATTACAGTTTTTAACAAAAAATAAAAAAAAATGCATTTTTCATATTTTTTTATGATAATATTTATGAATAAGTTAAAACTTTTTTACACACACACACAATATATTGACACAAAGCTAAGATTTTATTTATGTTACATACATACACATGTAAGTAAATAACATAAATTAAGTTTTAGCTTTATGTATGCCTTATTTAATAAATTATGGATTTACCTAAAAAATACTTAACAGATTCTAAAATTTTTCAAGAAAATATATATTTAATTATGTGTGCATATATATTGTATATAATTTTTTACATTTTTTATAAACAGCATCTTCTAGTTTCCGACTTGAAGCATCTATAAATGGTGATATAAAGCTAGGTGAAACAAGCGATGTGTTACTTAAAAAAATATCTCTTGTGTTGCAATTTGGATCCAGTGAAAATAAAATATCTATTAGTTGTGAATTTCATACAGTAAATCCAAAACTTAAAATTAAAGGTAAAACTTTAAACAGAGTTCTTTTATATTATAAATATTTTTGTAAATAAAGATTTATAAAAAAGTGGTGGGATGTTTTATATTTTAAAAAAAGGTGACGAGACAGCACCCCGCAACATCCCGCCTCACTTTGAGCACTGTATATATATATATATATATATATATATATATATATATATATATATATATATATATATATATATATATATATATATATATGTGCTGAAATAAATGGTTTTTAATAACGTCTAAAATAAATTAAGCAATGACGTAATTAATGACTTTAAACAATAATTTTCTCTTTAATAAACTTAATTTAAGAATTAATAAAGTTAATACACTCAAAAAGAAGAAAGATTTTGTTGAGAAGAAAAAAAGACTTTTTTGAAAGGCCTTTCAATTAAAGGACTTTGATCTTTACTTATATTTTTTTTATTATTGAAACGCATTTAAATAAATTAACAAATAATGATTTTTTGAATAAAGTATTAATGAATATTATATAAATTTTTTAATACTTATATAAGTATGTATTTTTTATTATAAATTTCTTTAAATAAAAAAATTTAATTTTTTAAAGAAACAATTTAATAATTCTTTTTTTTTTTTTTTTTTTAACTTTTAAATAAGCTTATCTATTAAACAATCGTTAAATGATTGTTACTTTGTTTAAAAGGGTTTCTCATAATATTATATTTAGGGTTTACTTTCAAAAACACAATTTTTGAATTTTTGATTAAAACCTGTAAAAAACCGATAGAAAACTTTTTTTTGGATTTTGTTAAAAGTTTGTTAAAAAAACTATTAAATAGCTAAAATAATTTCAAAAACTTAAATTTAATTTTAAAAAGTCATTTTAATTTCAAAAAAATATATATATATACTGGCTTGGTCAGGAAACGGGAGTGATCATTCTCGATTGCTGACCACGAAAATAATATTTAGTTGTAAAAAGCTGGCCAGATTTATTAGCCATTTTAAGAACATTTTAAAAGCAAAAAAAAATGCGCAAAAAAAAGATTCATTGAACCGATGAGTGACAATTACAAAATAAAATTAAAAATTAGGAAAATAAAATATATTTTAACACGTAAAAAAAAGCAAAATAAATTACATTTAGAACAAAATTATTTTCGACACATTGCTCTTTTATAATTTTTCTATAAAATTAAGCGACGTTTTTTATATAAAATAACATCTTACGATTGTTTAAAAAGGAAACAAATGTTTTTTATTTAACAAAGTTTGCAAGTTTTAGTTTTTTCTAAGCTAAATTATTTTATAAATAAAAAAGTTAATTTTTATAATACCTATTTTATGTTTCGCGTTGTTTAAAAAGTTTAACATATTTGAAACAATTCCTCTAAGTAAGATAAACAATTGAAATAATAAAATCATTGAATTACTACTAGATAGAAACCAACTAAAAAAGTTAAAAATACTTTATGACGAGGAAGCAAAACTGCTTCACAATATCGCTGATGATATTTAGTGAGTGGGGTTTTTAACTTTAATTAGTATTTAAAGCAGAAAAAAGTATAACGAGTTTTTAAGAATGGCAACTTAAGCAAAAATAATTAGAGTTAATAAACTAATGACTAGAAACTTTTTTTTTTATATCTAGTAACTTGCTATATAAATATGTGTTCTGTCGTGTCAGGCGTGGTGCTTGTTCATCCGCGAGTTACTTTGTATGCATTGTTTGTGTTTAGTAACCAGAAACTTCTTAGATGTTTGTTACATGACTAGTTTTATTAACTTTAATGATTAATAATAATTTCATTGAAAGCACAATTATTTTTGTAAGTCTTTGTTTACAAATTAAATCATAAAAATTGCTTTAAAAGATTACATTGCGATAAACAAACAGATACACAAAATTACATTTACATAAAAAATACATATTTTTTAAATAAAAAATAAGAATATACTAATAAAATCTACTATTAAAACATTTATTTTTGTAAACAAATAATTATAATTTATAAGATTTATGGCTTTGCAGATGTGGCTTCGAAAATGAGCCATTGTATTGATAATATTCTTAAAACAATTTATGCTAGAAATCTCAAAATGTAATAAACCGTGAATAATACAATTTGTAAAACATTTATTTTAATCCTAAAAATAGTTTTACAACAGCTAACACACTTGGTTTATAAAAATTCTATATGGGTTTCAGTTTTATTTTATAAGAAATATATGTATTTAACTTGTATATATTTAACTTGTTTCCACTTTTCTTGTTTTTTCACAAAATATACATTTACATTAGTGATTTTGTTGAAAACTTGTTAGTTCAATTTAATTTCTCTATTTTCTATCAAGTATAAAAATTCAATTTGTTATCAACAAATTTTTTTAAGTAGAAATTTGGCACACAGTGATATCAGAAAAAAATGCTGTGTTAAGTTTTGCTCATTTCATCTTTTTTTTTTCTTTATACAGTTTTTTTTTAAAAAAAAAAACATTTTTATTTTTGGAACTAAAATATATTTAGTAGTTGATATATATATATATATATATATATATATATATATATATATATATATATATATATATATATATAACAATAGGTGTAACTATAACATGATTGCTTACTGTCTTGACACCTTTTAGCCACACAATAAAAACGCGTTGAAACAAAAAAAAAACATTAAAGTTACCATAAACTCTGAGGAGTTTATGTTAATTTTCACACTATAGTTGTATCACTATGCCATAACGCTAGCCAAAAAAAGTTAGTTCAAAAAATATAGCAGAAAAAAATTTTTAAGCATTTTTAATCATTGTGTTAAAGGGATAAACTATAATAGTTTTGAAAAAAATTCAGTAAAAATGTATAAATAAAGAAAAAAAGTTAATCCTTTCTTTCCCATTATTTAAAATTAAAAAAATAAATTACAAAGACATTAAATATTTTCAAAAAACAATTGCGAATCAGCAAGTTCATTAATAAATTGCACGTGCTGCCATCTAGTAGAAAGTAGCGAAATTTAAGCATTACTTAAAATTAAAAAAAAAAGATAAAACAGGACTTAATTTTTGAATTTAAAGTATGTGTTGCTAAATGGCAAAATTGGGAAAGACAGGGTTAAATTAACTTCATACTCTATAAATATCTTATTTTTTATCATGTTGCAACTGTAAATATTTGAATTAATACTAAACTAAAATTTTTAAGAATAACTGAACTATAAATAAAAACGCAAAATTTTTGTAATATTTTTTAATGTGTCTATGTCTAAGATCAAAGGAAAGCAACCACAACATATTTGTTTCAGTAGATAAAAAAATGCATTAGTGAAAAAATCACGCTACAGAAAAAGGTCAGACAAAAATCGTCAACTCTTAGGACAACAATAAGAAAATATTTGCATATTTATTACAATATAACAATATACAATATCACTGTTAACACAATAATTTCATATATTTGTTATATAATTTTACTATTAACATAAATCTGCCACTTGTTTGTGTTCTGTCAACTTTTCTAAATATAAATTTTGCTCCTAAGATTATCGTATCCAAGTCAAATACACCTGGGAAATAAACAACATTACACTAAATTATTTTTGTTTTCCTGTCCAAGGCAGAATGTTTTTCATATTAATGAACAGCCTCTTAAAACAATCTTATATATTCGTTTTTCAAATTTATCCAAGTTTTTTTTTTTTTATGATTTCGATAATATCAAAATATTTTGATGCAAATAATAGAGATTCGAAAATGAAATATTGCTTTGGTGCCATTTTTAAAATTTTGATTGCATAAAAAATTTTCGATATAATTTATAGAGATTTGAAAGTAATAAAATGTTTCGATGCCATTTATAGAATTTCCATAATATAAAAACATTTTAATAAACTATAGAGTTTCGAAAGTGAAAAATATTTTCGGTAAATTTTCGATATTGTATAAATAAATGATAAACTTGAATAATTTATCGATAGAATTTCGTGAATTTCGTAAAGCAAAATATATTTTGGTTAAAATGAAGTAATTAGAAATCATTTCAAACTTACCAAAACAAAAATAGAGTTTCGAAAAGTTTTTTTTTCAATCAAAAACTCGATTTTTGCTAAAGTGAATAACTCTAATTATATTACATATATTTTTTACTTAACTTTTAATTTTATTTTTTGGTTTTATTTGTAGTTAAGTTATTTTTGTTTTATTTTACTTTAATTTTTTTTTTTTATGAAGATTCGTTTGTTTTTTTAGGATAAATTTTTTTTAGGTTTCTAAATAGCTAGCTAAGTGTCGTTAAGGAGAGATCAAAGCGATTTGTATTTCTTAAAAACAAAAATTTACATTTTGAAACTTCAGTTTTTTGTGTTTAAAAACAAACAAAACTACCACTGAATCAAACAAAACAAAACTACCAATGAAATACATAAAACGCATTGGGGCAGCGTCATCAAAACAGTTGAAACAAATGTGTTATGTATTTACATTCCAAAAATGTTCTTTTATTTGAAAGTAAAAAGTCTCTTTATTTACAGCATTAAAATATTTAAATAATAGCTAAAAAGCTCATATTTTATCTTTTCGTAAACAGTAAAAATTTTAAAATTTAGGTTTTACATTAGTTTTCACTCATAGCAATTTACTTCCATAATCTTTTATAGTCATTTTAATAAATTACCAAAAATTTTTTTTTGAAATATCTTAACAGTCATGGTCAAGTTTTCAAAATCAAATAATATTTGCATGGTCATATTACGACATGAAATCCATCAGGGTTAATTATTTGTTCTGTTAGTTCAATATTTTGCTCTGCCTAATTTTTATTTTTTATATGCTGCCTTGTTTATTTATTTATTCACTTGTTTGACTGATTCTTTTTTTATCTACTATTTTATTTATATATTTGTTGTGGAATTAAATCTAAAATTTAAATTTTTTACAATCTGTTTGTTAGTATTAATTAAATGATATTACACATTACTTTAACCCCTGGAAATTTTTAGTTTTGTTTGTGTATACATAAGAAG